TGGAGTAGTTGTCTTTCCTTTTTCCCCGATCAACTTCCCGTGAAAGCTCGTCTCGGTAAACAGTGTACGGCGAGGCTAATGTTCACTGTGCGTATGAGCTTACGTAACTGGCATAACCGCACCAAACCATAACCACCGAAAACCCTAGGTCTCTGAAGTTCTACGACTGCTTGCATGCTGTTAGTGTGTGGTTCTTCGGGGGTATTACTGGACAGTTTTGTTTCCGATACACGCTCAAGGTAGCTCAGAGTAGAAGAAGTGAGTCAGCAATGAGTACCTCCATGATACGAACTCAGCCCTGGCTTTCTGATTGCTTAGAGATTTTGGCATTATCTTATCCTCTATACATTCTCCGGGTTGCGTTGTGGCTATGTGCCGAAATGGTGCCGTAACTAAATGGCGTAGTTTAGAATTAGACCTAGATGTATTATCTTTATTCATAATTCCAGCTGATCTGATCTCCTCGTCTGACTTTATGCTGAACGTGCGTCGTGCTGCATCGCCCTCCGGCAAGAAAGGCAGGGGGTCGAGGTAGCCCAGCGGATTAGTAGAACTTCACCCTTCATAAAGCATTGAAGTTCTCCCCTGATATGGGGCATTCATTTCTTGTTTTGAGCCATGTTTTCAGGAAGTTGTACATCCACTGTTGGAAAATGGAAATTCGAAAAAGGGTCTCACTTTGTGTCATAGCAATCAAAGCAACGCTATCCAGAATTGAATACACATGGCGCGACACGGGTCGAGTTTACTGCGCTGCCGCATTTAGCTTTACGGCAAAAAAGCGGCAGTGTTGAACACTGACGTGCTATCCTTGCTGGTGATGACAACGATGATGATGGTGATGTTGATGATAAGGAGGAAGAAGATAATGATGATGACGATTACAAGTATGAATGCTGTCCCTTCCACATGAGTGATTTTTATCGGATAAGTGGAACCCCTCGCCTGAGCAGCACGGTGCAGATTTTGCTGCGGGAGCATGTCGGCACGGCTAAAAAGTACTGTTTTGAACACTGAGCACGACTTTCACTCGTTACCATGCTGCACCGTATTCGTGCACGCGGCACGTAGCTGCGAAAGTTATGACGTAGCAGGCAGCGGTATTAAAGACACGGCTTGACAACCCGTTTTTGAGTGACCCGAGCTTCTTGGATGGAGCTCTGGGGATACTGGTTACCGTTGGTTAAAGTTGTCGAGGATATTGCTCTGGTTCGTAATTAACGGTGAGAAAGTTCAAAATTTGTTATTTTGAACTCTTTGGTTGGCCACAAAGCAACGAAGACTTATCAAAAACATGACCTTTTTCACTTATGCGTCATTTCTATTTGTCTGCTGGTTGTCTGCATCATCATCATCACCATCATCAATGACAGCAACATCAGTGTTGGCACTGATGCTTCACTGCCGTACAACCATAAAGTTCGTTTAGTTATATATATATATATATATATA